GCTCAAGCGGTTTCAAAGATATTCAAAAAAATAAAAACAAATAAAAAAACTTTCTTTTAATTTTTTTTTTCGATATTCTTAATTCTTCAACTAATTGACTCAAAATTTCCTAAAACACTTTTTGTGCTTTAAACTGCGTCGTATATTGCCAAGAAAATTAAAATCGAATGCCGCGTTTAAGAGACGTTTATTGATTTGAAAAAATTACTCATCGAGCTCAAAAATCAACTAGTTGGAAAATTTTCGAGCGATTTGAAATTGAAAAGAGTGGGAAGTTTCAGGGATATCCTCCACTATTAACCTTTTTTCTGATGTTGATTTTTTGTATGTTTGAGCCTCTATCAAATGGAAATTTTTTTTAGTTTAAAGAATTGAAATAAGAATTTTTTTATCACGTGCTTTGATAACAATCATTCATTTATCCCATTTATCAGCGATAATGTTCTGAAGCTTGCTGAGTTTAAAAAAAAAACAAATCGTTTTAGTATTGATTTATGGAATCATTCATTATTCGAATTTATTTCTAATTTTATAATTTTATTTTGTAAGTACAGTGATATAATATTAGTTTACATCTAATATTAGTGAGTTACTTGATAGGAAATTTGCTTTTCGTAGGATATTAAAAGTAGTGAAAACATGAATATTTGTTTTTTGATTTTAGCAGAAACATATTGAATGAACATCAATAGAAAAATCCAATGTGTCTAATTAATAGTGTCACAATACTGATCATAACCTACCTTCTTTTTTCTTTGGATTTTTTTTTCGATTCCATTATTTAAAATTATTGGAACACAGTAGAAGTAAAGTTAAAATATTATTATATATTTGAAGTTTAAAATTTTCGTTGTTATGAAAAGGAAAAAAAATAATCTAAAAAAAACAAATGTTATGGAAATTAACCAAATTCCTTGAATTTTTTTCAGTATTCAATATAAATACATTAACTACATTAACAGAATTGCACAAATAATTATCACACTGTCACATGTATATATACACATATATATTCATTACGCTTAGTAATGAATAATGAATAACATTTAGAATATTCGGTAAACAGTTTGTTCTAACACATAATCTTTTTAACCATTTTCTTTTAACGAATAATAAATTTATTGAATTCCATTTTTAAGATCATATTTAATTTTCTAACTAATTAGTAATCTAGGGAATGTTACTAGAGAATAACATTTTTTTATGTTAGTCTTTCTGCTGTGATACCTCCAGAAGCATCCAGCAGGTGACAGTACCTGTCAGCAAAGCGCGAATTTAAATATAATTTAAATTGTTTTAAATATTTTATTAATTCATTATTGAAATAGTTGAAACTGTTCAAAATAGAAAGTTTAAATCTTATGTTGTAGAGTATTTATTAAGTCGAGTATATTTTTGTTTTAAATAAATAACATTTATGATCGAGTACAAGTACTTTCTCCTTACATGCTATTTTTTTTACAGATTTTCAAATTTTGTCAGTTTTTAAATTCTCAGATCATATTCCATCTATGAAAATACACTTAAGTCATTAACGATCGTGTTTAATAGATTTTTTCTCATATTTATAACTGCAATTTTCTCGATTTTTTTGATTTTCTGAGATTTTTTTAATTTTAAAACGTCACAATGGGACAAGAAAACTTCAGATTCAAATTCAGTGGAACAAAGTACATAAAAATCATACTCAATCTGAGTCCAAAAAATTTTTTTAATCTCGATAATTTCGATTTTTCATGATTTCTTGCAATTTCTTTTGGGTTTTTTGCAAATTTTTCAAATTTTGACGGCTCAAGGGGCTCAAGGGGCTACTCAAAGGGAAATACATAAAAATCATACGTGATCCAGGTCCAAAAAAATTTTTTCATTGCTGTGACTGCAGTTTTTCGCAATTTTTTGGCATATTTTTGGGTTTTTTGCATTTTATTCAAAATTTTGTGTGTACGGGCAAAACTGACTTCAGATTCGGATTTAGCGCGTCTAAATACATAAAGATAGGTAGGTCCGGTCAAAAGTACAGACCACTTTTTTTTTTGTGTAATTAATGTTGTAAAAATAAGATTTTACAAAATAATACTATTAGATGATATTTTTTTTTTTTTTATAAATAATTAAGTTGTTTCACAGTTTTGGAGAAAACTTCATAATAGATTCACAGAAATAAAAATAAGTTTAGTCTAGACTTGTAAAATACAAATATTAGGAAATGCTTGATTAGTATAAATAATTAAATCATTTATAAATATTTGTGAATGTAACGGAAAATATTATATATTAGTGGGTAAAAATTATTTATATGTGGTAAAAATATGTGTACTGATGTACGTACTGGTCTAGAGCTATGGTGGAAGAAGAATGGAGTTGGAAGCTCATCGGAAAAACTATGTAACGACAGTTCTCCTTGAGAGCTCAAACCGTTAAAAGCTTATTCTTATAAACTTAAAATCATCTGTATATGTTAAAGTTTGGCCAATCAAATTAATTAATAAATGGAAAATCAAGATAGTACCGATAATTATAGAAATTAAATCGTTTTAAATTTTATTTTGAGTGTGAGAATTCGTCCGATGAGGCACGGGGTACGGGTCTATCATACATTGTATCCATGCTCGTACGCGTGCCCCGTGCGTATGAAATATCTGCACGGGTGTAGTGTATGCTGTGTATGCATAGACCCGTTGACCCGTGCCCCGTGCCTCATCGGAACGAATTCTCACTATTCTCACTTCCTTTTGTTAAATTAAGTTTCCTTTCCCGCGCTGAAACAGAGTATTTTAATACTCTCGGGCGAATAGTTGGGACAATAGTTGGTAAATTTTCATGCAAAATAAAGTAATAACCACCACAACATTCCATACACAAGGAGGAATGAATTTTTCACCATTCAGTGAATCCTTGAGTTGTCTTTTTCACTTTTTAAGTGGAAGACTTGACGAAAAACAGAGACATAACTAGGGAACTTAATGGAGGTTTTACTGTGTCATAGATAAGTACACATCGCATACCCTCTTGCAAAATATCTGTGAGAGCGTAGGAATTGACTTTCGAATTCAACCACAAGAATGATTTTGATTCCGTAGCTTTTGGCGTTGACAGCACCAATGTGAACGTTGAAAATGACATAAATGGCATAATGAGTCTGGCTGAGAACACTTAAGCGCCCAATCCGAGCGGTAAATGTCACTGACTTGGATGATAAATATTTACCACTGGCCAAGTAGTGTATCTGAAGGATTTAATGATATTCGCCTGGTGCGTGTGAGTGGAGTAACAGCAGTAACACCACTTCATAACTTCATACCGAGACACCTACCGATGACCCCCAGGAACTACAAACTCACAACTACTCCACCATCAAGTACAGCGGCCGAATGGGAAAATGCCCAGAGCCTAAAGAATACTACTACTACTACTACTACTACTACTACTACTACTACTACTAACACCACTTCATTAGCAGTGTTTGCGTGTTGATGCATACCGATAGTGCCACCTAAAATAATGTGCTCAACATCTTTTCATGCTTAACGTCTACTCGTATACACACTCATTTTTGACTAGTATTGTGCGTGCACCCAGGCAATAATTTTTGCATTGCTAACATTGACATTTTCACTCACATTTGTTATAGTGAGCTTATTATATAAATTTACGAATTTTCTGAAAACAATTACAATTGTTAACTTTTGTATATTAAGTTTTTAGAAATGGCATTCTTTATTAAAAATAGTTTTAAGTCATTAGCTCAATCATCATGTATTTCAATATCTAAACGTTAGCTAATTTTTATTCCTTTTAATGTTATTGGATATATTATTAATTCTTTCAAAATATGCAGGTTATCTATCAATTTCATCGACACTACGCAATCCCCAAACAACTACAGAGGCGGAAGACGAATCACAACGATCATGTGAGTCGAAACAATAGTTTAATTTATGTATAAGTATATAGATTTTTTTTATTATTTTTAGCCATTGTGCGGAAGTCTTTCCATGACAATCTTGATTCAGTTAGAAGCTTTGGTCAATATCTAGCGGAATGTTTACCCAAATATGTTCAAAAAGTGCAGATGACAGCTCAAGATGAACTTGAAATTCTTATTGCTCCATCAGGTATTCGGCCTACATTATCATTCTTAAGAGATCACCATAATTCACAGTACACTATTCTAGCCGACTTAACTGCTCTTGATGTTCCTAGTCGACCGTATCGATTTGAAGTTTGTAATTTCGTGTTACTGAAGTATTTATACTGATTGATACTTAGGATACTTAATAAAATGTGATTATTTTTTTTTTGCAGCTAGTATACAACTTATTGTCTCTTCGATTTAATAATCGTATAAGAGTAAAATCTTATACAGATGAATTGACTCCAGTGGATTCTGTAGTTTCTATTTTTAAAGCCGCTAATTGGTACGAGAGAGAAGTTTGGGATATGTTTGGTATTTACTTTAGTGATC